ATGTCTGTATCTCGGTACCAAATCTCACTCTTCGAAGTATGAACGGCAGATAATTATTTCTTCAACTAATAAATAAATTGTGTAAGAGAAGCAGTGGTAATTATTCCATATTAATAATATAATAACAATTATAAATGTGAAAGTGAGTTTGTTAGTTTGTTTCTTTATAACGCTTTAACGGCTTAACCTAACTCTATGAAATTTGGTTTACACGTACTATATAAAACAGAGAAGAATATAGGATATAATTTAAATCTTGGTCAGTAAATATATCCCGATCACGCGGAAAAAGTAGCCCGTAAAAGCTGATGTAATATTCTTTTTTATGCAACTTAGAATGGCAAACAAGCTGAGGGCCAACCTGATAAAAAGTAGTAACTGTCACCTATAGATATGAGCAGTACCATGCCCGTACCGAAACTGTACACAACAAAGTATATTGTTTCGCCCATGATACTCCTCATGCGTTACCATTCCTGAGGATTGAAGTATTATTCCTCCATACTCTAAATATTGCTAATAATTATGAGTATTAAATAAAATTAAAAAAAATCCACTGTTTTAATTAACTCTCCACTGCTGAACATTATTCTCCCCCTGGGGGGATTTACTAGCAGTTGCTATGCTTGGCAGGTTAATTGGCAACCGCAGTTAGGCTTTGGAGATTTTTTAAGAGGGACGCTGCTGCTCATCTCTCCTTCTCTCTTAGTCGTGTCTTTCGTGAAAAAAAAAAGGGGTAGCCTATTCTATGCCGGGACCACACGGATTATAGAAACATACTGATCGTGATTATTTATCGACTATACAAGTAATTATGGATATTGATAAAAAATTTTAGAGAAGATAGGCATGGATTATTTATACAACTTATAAAGGCGTAATATCTCATGGAAAGTGGTAACTGTCGCCTATAGACATGAATAGCACGAATACTGAATACATTATGAGGCGCATGGTACCATTGATGTGTTGCATTTCTGAAAGATTAGGGCGTTTCATGTGAATTCCATGTAATTTCAAAATTTGCATACACAAACAACTTCTCGTTAAAAATAGAAAAATATAAATAATATTCAAACGATTTGACCCTATGACTTCCTTTAATTATAATATACTTTTCTGAGATCTTACAGTTTATTGAAATGTGAAATAAATTTTATTTAAAATGAAAACGTTAATTGCTGCCTATAGACATGAAGAGCATCATAGACATTACAGAATACACTGTGACACCTGTAGTATCCCCCCCCCCCCCCATATATTACTATTCCTAAGCACTGAAGTCTTATATCTCTGTATCAACTAATTACATTACTACAACCCTTAAAGTGGAAACTAAACAAGAAACAAAGTCATGTTGTATTTACAAAGACCATTTTTTACAAAGTCTCCCGATTATTAAAATACAAAGGGCGGTTTAAATAAAAAAAAAATAGCAACATGTTTCTATGTCTTTAACAAATTATTCATCAGTAACTAAAATATACCAGTAGCGAAAGAAAACTCGTAAACCAAACTGTTGTATATAAATAAACTGTTGTGGATTATTTATGAGTGTATATTATTCGCCGTGTGGTTTCAACATAGAATAGACCACCTACTTTTCCCGTAGATGTCATAAGAGGCGACTAAGGGAGGTCGAGGGATGGGCAGCAGTCTAACTGCGATTGCCAACCCGCTTGCCAAGTGTGGCAACTACTGGCATAATCTCCCAAGGGGGAAACTGATGTTCAAGAGTGGATAATTAAAAATTAATATGATGATGTATATTATTGAAATTATTTAATCTATTTGTAAGCAAGTAAATAATCCCGTTTACTTAACTAACTAAATCTATTATTATCCGGAAAGACTTCTATTTCAGATATTAGATATTTGTCGACAGATGTTTGCGTGTAATCCGGGTAAATCCACGAGTAATCGGTACGGTCAGTTGACAATAATAGCAGCGAACGTATTTTGTTATATCACAGACCGGTACACGCAACTTATTATTATTCTGCTATAATATAATGAAAATAAATGGCATATGATCCATCCGGGAATTGAATCCCGATCATCTCATTTATGCAAAGCAACGTGCTCATCACTGCACCACGAAGTTCGTCAAATGTACACATGTTAATTTTTATATGTATTTATTTTTTTGTCATCTACATATAGATAATTTTGAAAAACATCTTTTTGATCGTTACACAGATTTTTTTTTCTTATCTATCCTTTACCTTATTACTTATGTTAGCCCATCAACATCTTCCTGCCCGTATCCCAATTATTTTAAGTCCGTATAATATGATTTCATTCATATTACATAAGATTTTAGCTTTTGGCTTTAAGACCAGCTGCCTGCCTGACTTCAACCCTCCTTGGGAGTTTATTATTATTATATTGGTCCATGTTTAGCTTAATGTACTGTGAAGATTTCGTCAAAATTAATCGAGTTGTTTTTAGATTAAATGCTGATACATAAATAAACAGACTTACCAGAGGGAGATTTTGTACAAAAGTTGTTTACTTGGGTACCCCTCCTCTCCCAATCGTATTTCAACCGTTAAGTAGTTGTGTTTGGATGGCTGTGTTTCGGTTTGAAGAGTGAGATATAGTAGTAAATTTACTGGGTACAGAGTCATAACACCTTTGTCCTGAGGAATAGCAACGCATGAGGAGTATCATGGACGAAACAAATACTCTGTTATGTCCATGACACTGCTCATCTCTATAGGTGACGGTTACCACTTTTCATCAGGTACGCCATCAACTTGTTCGCTATACTAAGTTGCATAAAAAAATGAAAAAAAAAGACAAACGAGAAATGGACACACACAGAAGATACTGAAATCATTTTTTTTTTTAATTATTTCATGATATTGATACTTTTTGGTAGCTGCATAGATTTATTATCCAGTTATATCAGTATAACGGCAGCGCCAACTCTTAACCTAATCATTACTCGCTCTGTGCTCCGAGCCGTGAATGTAATACCGCTCAGCCAACCATAAATTGTCCCAGTCCATCTTCAAACAGCTGCTTATTTACTCGCCTCTTATTTGTAAGTCTGCTGGCCACTCTCCACATTACTATAACTATGTATATGTATATATATATATATATATATATATATATATATATATATATATATATATATATATATATATATATATATATATATATATATATATATATATATATATATATATATATATATATATATATATATATATATATATATATATATATATATATATATATATATATATATATATATATATATATATATATATATATATATATATATATATATATATATATATATATAAAATAAACATATAATTAAAGTTTGTGAAAATTCATACAAATATTATTTATTTATATTTGAATATAACATATCTTTTTCTCCCTCGTACCTATGAATTTAATAGGAATACACGCCGCCTTACATTTGAACATAAATATAGATACATTAACTGTCCACTGCTATACATAAGCCTTCCCTTTGAGGTTGCCAGTAGTTGCCACGCTTGGCAGGTGAATTGGCAAGCAATCAGGCTTTAGAGGTGTTTTAAGAGAGGTGCTACTGCCTATCCCTCCCACCCTCCGTTAGTCGCCTCTTACGACTCCCACAGCAAAAGAAGAGGCCTATTCTATGCCGGGGCCACACGGCCAAATTTTCTTATTAATTTAAATAATGACAACGAAAAAAATCGTCTTAAGCTCTTTTAGTCTAATTGATATTTCTAGTAGTATATTTGCTAGAATTACAAACTGTTTCTAAAAATAAGTATCATAAAATAAACGGAACTTCTTTAACGATAGCTGTAAGTATTCATCCGCTGTGGTCCAGCTGAAGCACGTCTCGAGTGCACAGTCAATATACTTAAGACTCTTCAATATCGGTCACAATTGTCACGATGCTTTGGAAATAGACTCTCCTGATGAATTTTAAGGAAATGGGAATTAATCTTGGCACTGGCAAAGACTAAGTAATTTTTATGGTTAATTATATTTGTATGTGTTTAAAGACACATTTATTTATTAGAAATAAAACACACATCTAATATAATTAAGTGAAAACTGATTCATGATAATGATGTCCCATCAAAAACATAAAACGTAAAAAAATTGCCAAGTCTCGCAACGCAGTTCTTCCACTTCAAAATGTTGTGAGGTCTCATGTAAAATCAAGTCTGTTATTTTAGTTAGTGTCTATTCAATAATTTTGTTATAAATTGTCGTGTAATCAATAACCTATCAACATTTATATCAACCGTGGAACTTTAATTGTTATGATAGTTCATATATTTATGTTATTTAATGTTCCCAGTACGTATTATTAAATTGTAGGATATTTATTGAAATATATAGACATTGTGTATTGAAATTTCTTTAGGGAAGGTTACCAAACCCGGTAACATTCCTGGTATAACAAGCGTTCATAGGCTACACTGATCGTTTACCATCAAACAGGCTGTATATTTTTCGTCATCTTTATGATATAAAAAGGCTTATTAAGTATCTACCTAATAACTAAATAGAAATAATGTCTAAAACCTGTAATTTTATTAGGAAGTAAATTTGTTAACAAATCAATCTAGACACGCGGCAGAGTGTCCAGTCAAGTTGTAAAAAAAAGAGAACACGCAGCAGCCATGTGTAATATTATATGAATTTTAATTTAAAGTAAGCATTTAAATGAATTTAAATAGACGTTTCATAAAAAAAATGTTAATAATTAGTCATTATACACATATTTCATACACATGTATTAAATTATATCTATTATCTAAGTGGAAGCAAATTGTTTCTTTTATTAAAGTCATAGAAAGTATTTGTTTTTAAAAGTTCAGCTACAAGTTGCAAAACAACCATCATTTTAATGGGCTTCCCGGTGATGCATCAACTTGCCATTGTGGGGTGGCAAACGTACGCATGCGCATTAGATGCTTCATTGAGCGCGCACCCTGTCCGAACATGCGCTGTATGATACCAATTCATCAGGAGCTCAGGACGGCGGTCAATACAGTTGTAGGGACACCACTCGCGCATGCGGCGCTCCCTTTATCCAACAATCAGGTGTAAAAGCGACATGGCCGACAGCGAGTTTGAAGAATTTCGTCGTGTATTCGACAGATTACCTCAGCATATAAAGGCCCCAACGCCGTTCTATTCGTAAGTCACGTTTATCTTAAATTTTTTTGTTATTATGTCGCACCAATGAACTGTTATATGACCGGTAACTGACGTCACGTGAACACGAGGAAAATTTAATGAATGCAGCTGTTATTGACTTTTAGTCTGATAAATGTAATCTTATTATTATGCTACTACACAGGTTAGTGCCAAATGTGGGTTTGGATGATGAATCTCCATCATCAAAGAGCGAAGGTACTCCAGAAGAAGATAGAGGCTGCATTGCAGACAGCGATGTTGCAGCTCCTGTACAAGAGGAGGTCGTATCACCACTGCCTCAGCCTGATTTAACAGAACAACAACGCAGCCCGAGACACCAAACATTTACAAATGGAGAACGAAGGAGAAGAAAACTCCCTGAGATACCAAAAAATAAGAAATGTGAGTACAGTTTAAGTTAACTTAAAATATGTAAATATGAAATCGGTTTTTACGTTATTATTTATTTATAAAAATGTGTATGCTCAGCGAGATTCCAGTTTCTTTTATCTATTGTTATATCTAACACTATTGCGAATGTTTTCTTAAAACTGGCCTTTGTGATAATTTACGATGTGATATAAAATGAAAGAATTTTATAATCTGTGTATGTTAATCTCTAAAATGTTGCATTATTTTTCGCTATCTTAAATTAGTGTCTAGTCTATTGTTATATTAATTTGAATCTGCGTTTTATTAATACACATTAACAGAAAATTCTTTCATATTTTATAAATTTGTTACTTAGCTATTGCGTTATTTTAATATTTTCCTGTAATTTATGTTTTGTTTTTTTAGTAGAATTAAATACTGATATATTATATTTCTACTGATACTTATAAAAACAAATACATTATAGTAGTTTCTTGTATTTTATTCCACTATATAACTTCTATGATTTGATCAGTTTACTTCTTAATTTATATCTCAGGGAAAAAATGTTTCTGTGGCTTGGTATTTCTTAAATTTAAGTAATCTTAACTAAATTAATAACAATATAATAATAAATTTCTCAAATTAACTCCATTTTTTTAATATAAAGATAATCTATATATATGGAAAATAAATAAAATTAAAAGTCGAATGTATTTTAAATACTTATATACTAATTAATTTTCATGTAAAACAGCACAATAAATGAACATTTTATTACTATATTAAAACGTTGATAAAAATAATTTCTAAGAAAAAAATACTTCCTAAAAACATATTTTTTAATAACATAAAAAACAATCTTAACAAGTTTGTAAAGCTAAGATATTTTCAATTCTAACTTAATCTAAGTTTTCACGTCCCATCACTGACTGATGTCTTTTATTATTTTACTATTTTGGGCATTTTTGGCCATCAAATTTTTTTATTTTTATTATGCATTGTATGAATAGTTAATTTACATTTTATTTTGATCATCATTTCTGATTAATTGGGAATTGTAAAAACGATTTGATATTTTTCGGTTTAGACAAAAAAGATGACGTATATCAGTATTTTTTTAGTATAAATTTTGAACAACTTTTAATAACAAATATGGACAAGTTTTATTAAATTGTTGTCAAATTAATTTTTATCCTATTTCAATAAAAAGATTGGACCAACATTAGCAAACTATACTAAATTCGATTTAAGTGATAAAACTTGACTAAACTTGGCCTAAGTTGAACAATTTTAGTCAAACTAAGCTATTCTTGTCCCAAACTTTACTAAACTTGATTAAACTGTCCAAATTTAGTCCAACTAAATCAAACTTGGTCAATTTGACCAAAGTTGACCAAGTTGAATCAAACTTAACTATACTAACCTCGATTTTAGTTATCAGACTTAACCCAATATTTTTCCAAAGTTGATTGAATCGACTAAATTTAATACAGCCCGACAAAAACGCTGGGGATATCCATTATACGGATCGTACCAACGTCCCATCATCGATCGTTCTATCGTAGAGGACAATCGTAAACGGCTAGTGTCTGAAATCGAAAGAACATTAGCTAGGATCTCTAATTAGAGATGACAAAACTTAGTCTAGTACTATAGTATTATTATTATATATATAAATACTATAGTATTATTATTATTAGTATTAGTAGTAGTACTTTATTAAGACACAAGCTTGAGCGTTCACCGCTAAAGAAAGTCCCATTTGCTATGACTCCACAATTTCACAAGCGCACGCCCCTCAAGATGTTGATGCTTTTAGAAATGTCTAAAAGCATTGGCATCCTTGGTATCTACATCTCTAGCACAGTTCCTTGGCTACCTAAGATAAGGTGAAGCTGACATCCTATAAACTCAGTGTGCTTAATAGACCGAAGCAATACTTCACACCGAATCAATGATTAATGCTCTATAAGTCGCAAATTCGGCAACATATGGAGAATTGTTGTCTCTTATAAGCGGGAGCACCTAGATACCAGCTTGAACCCTTTGACACAGTGCCACGACGAACTATTAGAATTGTCGGTGATTCCAGGCTTACGAGTGGTATCGAATCCTTAAGATTGAGAAGAGATTTTGCGTCACTCTACGTGTTCGTTCGTTTCTCTACTTGCTTGTACAATGGATTGTAGAGGAATTATTTACTATGATGCCTACGCTTACTTTTTGCCATCGTACAGCTCGCCACCCCAATTCACTTATGGGTTCTTCAAAAAAGGGATAAAGAGGTTTCTTCAAAGTCAGCAACGCACGCGTAATGCCCTTGGTGTTGCAGGTGTTATTAGGCTACGGTAACCGTTTACCATCAGATGGATCGTATGAGGTTTGCCACCTCAGTAGTATAAAAAAAAAACTGTGCGTTTCTGTAGATATTTTTTTCCACGCACAACCAAAATCTGTAAAAGTTCTGTAAATCTTGGTCATGTTTGACCTAGTTTGGTATAATTCAGTTAAGTTTGGTCCACTTTAGTTTACTTTACTTACGTTTGGTCTAATTTGGTATATTATACCTTATTCCGATTAAGCTTGCTCAAGTTTTGAATTGTTAGGCTAATATTGGTGCAGTTTGATCAAAATCAAATTAAATATAGTTTAGCCAAGTTTGGTCAAATTAGCCAAATTTAATCATATTTGGGCAAGTGTGATTTAATTTGATTAATCTTTTTTTACCTTAGATGTTAATTTAATAACAAATAAATTATTTATTTATTTTTATAATCTACAGTCCCTAATAATTCATAAAGCGATATTGCTAGATGAAATTAAGTATTAAAAAAAAATTCAAATTTTCCTTGCAAAAATTATAAAATAGTCAACTTTTTAAATTCAAAACACAAAATTATTAAGAAACGATATTTTTATCGAAAATTTGACAACAAGAATAATCAAATTGTTTTCCTCGTTTTGAAGACGGTTAGAAATATATAGAACAACTCTTATGATAAAAGTAATATAATAAAATATTTCTATGGGCGCAAAACTACGATACGTGACGACTTCTGACGCTGTGGTAGTAGTAATTTGATGAAATTTTTCTCCTCGTTCTTTATTATAATCAAATATGTTGTCAGAAAAGTCTTTTAAATAATTATGCAAATATTGTAACTTAATATTCATATTAAATCACAGTCTTTCAGAAAACTTAAGCATCTTTATGGCTATTTGCAAATAATACTGAGATATGCGATTTCCTAAAAAAATTTTTTTTATTTATGCTTTCAGTTCAACCTAAGGTTTATGAACTCATTATGTTTTATAAAATTTCAACAAGTATATTTTAAATAATCACGTACTTAACTAAAATGTACACGAACTATTTTACTTACGTGTAGATTACAGTACTAGCAAAAAATAATTATTTCTCGACCTATATATGCAGTTCATACCCGTGTATAAACCGCGATGATGTTTTTTTCACTACTTTACCACAAATAAAAAAAAAATTTAATATATCCACTTTTTGACCTTATAAAAAAAATCTTTTTTAATTGCACTTTAACTTTTATATTAAACTAGCTTTTTCCCGCGACTACGTGTGCACGCACACGGTTTTGGAAATATATACACCTTACACATAAAACATATATCCCGTTAATTTTATATCTATAATATTTAGATATATAAACTAATGTATATATTATACACGGACAAAGAATGCACAGCGCAGTGCGAATAGTTCGCAAAAGAAAGGAAAGGAAAAGAGAAATCGAAAGTAATGAAAGAAGAAAAGCTAATAATTTATATTTTTAAGATAAATTATCTGATAGCGCATTTTAAACTACTTCAGTGTCATCTGGTTCCTTTAAGTGAACAGCATACACTACTAATTACATTATCATAGCCCTTAACCGTCTATTACTGTACATAAGCCTCTCTCCTGGGAGGTTTTGCTAGTAGTTGCCATGCTTGGCAGGTGGATTGGCAAACGCAACTAGACTTTAGAGATGTTTTAAGAGGAACGCTGTTAACCGTTCCTCGTTGTCCCTTAGTCACCTTTTACGACATCCATGGGAAAGGAAGGGTTGGCTTATGTTCAGCAGTGGGCAAGTAAAGGCTGATATGATAATAATGACAAATGATTGTCATCAGTCATTTAATACATCTATACAAACCATTACATTCGAAAAAATAATTATCGATATTTTTCCTATGAAAATGTATTTCCTCGCGGTAAAAAGTAGTTTGTATCTTTAATTAGCCTACGTTTTATGTGTAAGAAAAAAATAAAATAAAAAAGATCATTTAGAACTGCAGAAATATAACTGTGAAAACCGTATCTAATTTAGTGCATTAGTTTTTGAGTAATGCCGAATCAAACAGACAGACTAACAGATAGGCAAAGATTCTAAAAACCATTGTTTTAATTTCTATTATTCGTATTAAAACTTAACACATATTTTATTTAATGTCTTCTAATCACAGACATTGTCTAGTTACAATTTTATGATATTCTTTCTATCCTATTTAAGAGCTGCGCTCTTGTCGGTGAAGCTTTTGCCACTCACTACGATTTTCTGCGAGTCTCTTCACCTCTTGATAAGACATGACACCAACTTTTCCTTGATAGGCCTGGTATAACTGTGCCTTGGTCTCCCTCTTCCCCTCCTTCCTTCTATCGTATCTTCTATTATAACGTTCATAAGTTCGCCGTGTCATATCAAGTGTCCTAACATTTTTTTCCTAACTTCAATAGTTCTTATAATTTGTCTCTTTTCCCAAACCCTAAGCATTTATTATATTAGTACACCGTAATACAAATTATTCGTATAATAAAAGTAACATAAGAGTCACGCAGTTGTAGTAATCAGTAATCGAATAGTGGTGTTGGTTTTACAATAATTAAGATATTACAATTAAGATAAAACAATAAATATATTGTTTGTTATCTCAAACAAAAAAGAAAAATAATACGACGATTGACGAACTAAATAAATTAATAAATTGACATTTATAACGATTAAAAAACGTCTTACAAATGTTTTAAAATAAATTTTAAAACAAAATCAATATATTTTACTACGTTTAATATTACTATTAATTATGTAAAACATTGAATAAAATACATTGGTAACAGCGGGTAGAAGAGAAAATTTATAGTTTTGATAACTTGATTTAACATAAGAACTAGGGTTAATTTAAAAAAAATAATTGCACACTGAATACTTGATAATTATAATCTATTTGAAATGACTCTGTAAACCGATGCCGCAGAAATAAAATATTTTTTGTTTTCTGTGATTCTTATAGTTCATATTATACATATTATTATTTTATGTATTAAATTTTACTGTTCATTATCTTATTATAATTATATTAGTACTTTATATTAATAATTATACCTGTCTGTAGCTTTTGAATAAATACTTTATGTCTGTACATAACCTTAAGTTATATTCATACATATTCCAGCAACGATATTAGCAAACGGGCAACCAGCCTCACTGGCAGATGAATTAGGGGCACTGGCTGGACTTCTAATCAGGCCAGGATGTCAAGGGCGACCATTGCTAGTCCTAAAATGCGGTTACCTACTTGACGAAGACTCCAGTCCGGACTCGGAGCGGCTTCAGAGCCTCGGAGATGTCGACAGTGGTCACAGTACAGCCCACTCTCCAATTGACACGGGTCCAAAAAGTATATCTCCAACACCATTACAGCAAAACGGTAAGTACTTCTGGTGTATATAGAACAAATATATTTATCTCTATAAAAAAAACACATACTGATGAATGACGTGCTATTTGGTAGACAGGTGAGATAGTAAATATTTAAATTTAGAATTTGAAAATTGATAATTGATCTTAATTATCAATCAAATGCACTTGTGCATTTTACTTCGCAATAAGTTTTTTTTTTTTTTATTTCACAAAGAACAATGGCAGCTTCGATTATCACAAAAATATGATACGAGCACAAAAGGAAACCGTGCTGACAACAAAAAGAATTATTAAAATTGGTACAGAATTAATAACATATTCGCGTAACAGATTAGACAATTTAATGGTGCTTAAAAATATAAGTTAAAATTTCAACCAAACCATTAAAGTAGCTACGAAAAACTTGCACGTTACAACTTCATGTTTTTAATTATTTATATTAAATAGCTACAAGTTATAATATATCTGATAAAGAAAACAAAAATAGAAGATTGTTCTAGAACAACGCAGTGATAATAGGTCTACCATATATTCTCCTTTGGAGAAAGGACTTTAATATTAAATAAAATTACTATCTTAAAAATATTTTTTCGCGTGTTAAAATTATATGATCCATTACTTCAGTGTAACTCGTATACAAATACACTTTGTGTAAGTGTAATCGGAAATATAAAAGAATTCGTCTATTGGAATCTGTGCCAAAAATGCGCGAAAAAATAATTTTAACAGTAGGAGATAGTCTTCACAAAGAAAACTTAATTGTGAGATTTTACGTTTAGCAATGAAATAAATTCAAAATATCTATACCCGTGTAAATAGATTGTAGAAATAGTATAAAACCAACATGTTCAAGAAAATATGAACTTGGAATTTAGGACATTGTCACTTAAAAGAGTGCTAGTTATTTTGGTTCTATAATAATAGTTAATAGTAAATTTAAATATATCAGGCATTTGCTTTTTTATCTATCCAACTTTTCACACTAACAAACGATTTTTTTATTTCTATTGATAGTAAGCAAATGAAGTATGAATTATTATGTCATAATATTTTTTTTTCTTTTATTACTTGCACTATGTAATAAAAGCATACACAATTATATGAAAAGTATATTTTCGTAAATTGTTACAAATATTCGACTTCCAGTTTCGCCATCATCAAGTTGCAGCATCAGTGGCATTAACTTTGCTGGTAACATGACGACAGTTCCCCACAGTCAACTTGAAATGCTTGAAGCTACTCATAGAGGCCTACATAAGTTTAATCCTAGACATCATGACGAGATTGAAGTGGAAATAGGAGACCCCATTTATGTGCAAAAAGAGGCTGATGACTTATGGTGTGAAGGTCAGTGTTGCTTAATATAGGTATTAAAAGCAAAATTCTAATGATAATTGCATTAGTGATCTATTAATAGAATTAAATGGTCCCAAGATGGGTAGGTGTGTTCCTCTTAAAACATCACCAAAGCCTGACTGCGGTTGACAAACCGCCTGCCAAGCATGGCTACCACTGGCAAAAGCCCCCCAAGGGGATGAACTATGTTCAACAGTGGATAGTTAATGGCGGATATCACTAAATCCAATTCTAAAACTAAATTGTCGAAAATAATATATAGCCAACGTTACTTTCTGATAATATAGATTTCTAGAGGTGAAAGAATTTTTAAAATCGGTTGAGTAGTTTTTGAGTTTATCCATTACAAACAAACAAATTAACAAACAATAAAATCTTTTCTCTGTTATTAGTATAGATATTCAATTACATAGAATATATAAAGTGAATTGTGTGTAGTATATTTTTTTTTATATATATAAAACTCAGATATATAGGGCACTTGCTTTCATTGACTTTTTAAAGTCACAGTGGAGATTAAGCGATACTTTCGCCAAGCGATACAGTTCCGATATTCAGTCAAAACGAATTTAATGCGACCTTCTATGTGCAATATGGAGCTATTACGATCGTGTACCCTACACACCCATAGGCAACGTACCTAAACACGAAAGGCAAAGCCAGAGCAGAGGGCCTACCATGAAATGTTTTCCGAAATTTCGACACCGAACGAAACACAAATTTGATGTTAAAATTACATAATACTTACCATTTAACAACATTAAAAATACGAAAATATTATTCCTTTGGACTTTTATGGCAGGATTTATGACGAACGAAATGTTAAGCTCCATTTACTGGCCCGATTTAGGTATAAACGAAAACACGAAATTGAGTCCGAAATTTCAGAATTTCATTTCATGGTAGGCCCCCTGATTACAGCATCAACGAACTTACGTCCTTCCAATTTCCTTTATGTCAAGTAAAACCTTCACTTTGAATATTCTAGGTGGATTTTTACATTGTATAAGTTTATGGGTTGTTTTTATGTTTTATCGTAATAATTTAACTGAGCTATCTATTGTAGGTGTCAATTTGAGAACAGGTCAGCAGGGTATTTTCCCTTCAGCCTATGCAGTAGATATGGACTACAATGACTTTGATCCAGCAAATGCCAAAGTTAAAAGGGAGCGATATTTATTAGGGTATGTTATCGTTCATTACATTTAAAATTAACTATATTAACATAATTCTATAATATCTGCAAATCAAATTATATGGAACTAGAAAGGGCTAAAGAGTTTAAATGCTTCTATTCTTCGAGATTATTTACTTATTTCTTTTAAGTTCGAAAACTGATAACATTTTAAAATTAGATTACTTAATTACACACAAAACAATGTTACTTTTCCATTAAACTATTAATTATTATCTTTAGCCTGACCGATTTCGCTTTTAAAAGGCTTTATTGAATGTTCCATTTGTTTTTGGAATAAGAATATTGTTTTAAATTCATATAAACAATAAAATTTCATTAATTAATGTATTTATATACTCATAGAATAATATTATTTTAATAGATAAAAAAATAATTCTATGTATAGATATATGGGCTCAGTAGAAACGTTAGCTCATAAAGGAACGGGCGTGGTATGCCAGGCTGTGAAGAAAATTGTGAGCGAGTCGAATGGTGAACCAGGAGTTCAGCCTTGCATCCTAGAAGTATCAGATCAGGGTTTACGTATGGTGGACCGATCGAAGCCAGATGTAATTATTATTTATATATTTCTATTAATATTTCAATTGAACCAGTAGAGAGTTATATTGTTCTGATTGTTGTAAAAATATTTTGGGTATATATATTTGGTACGACTATAATTCCTTTTTCTTTTCTGGATGATAATGGATTGATAACTCCGCCTATACTATTGGTATGTGCTAACGGAGTAACAGTGAGAGATAACAGATGGACTGAATTCAAGTTAGTTGGTAAATCGTGGCAAAATAATTAGGAATTAATGATACTATCCAAGGATCTGTCCTTGGATAGATTGACAAGCTACCGTGACACGATATACTAGAAGGAAAGAGATTATTAGTAACGAGGAAGTTAGCTCTAAGCGTTAACAATATATTCTATTAGGACGATGTCCACGCGGTTCTCCTTGGAAACCATCATAGATAAATTTACTGAATTTTTCACGATGAGCCAACTTGCCTGACTTTATTCTCACCTGTCGTCAATTTTCATTAAAAGAAAATACAATTTTGCTATTAAATAAAACATTATAAGTGGCAGCCAATGGTTACTACTGCCTCTCAGATGGGCCCTCAGCTTGTTTGTCTAAAATTAAAAAATGTTACATACTCAAATTATGATTATGTTTATAATAAAGTAATATAAGCTAAAGACTTAAAAATATATATTTGCATTAAAGTACCTATACGATTCCAACTCAATTATTTTGTAGTCATAAATTTGTCTGTTCTGTACAGAGAACACGAAACGGTCCATGCATCGATTACTTCTACTCGTTGAAGAATGTCTCCTTCTGTGCATTCCATCCCCGTGATCACAGATACCTGGGTTTTATTACTAAACATCCCACGTTACAAAGGTTCGCATGCCACGTCTTCAGGGGACAAGAGTCGACAAGACCCGTAGCAGAGGCTGTTGGGTAAGATAAGAAATTCATCCTTCATTGTACTCATTTATTTAGTAGGTAAATGACAATCATAAATGTATCACAATATCATTGTTTTATTATTTTACTATTATTGATACTGATGGAAAGATCCTACTATATACGTACTGATAAATACTGATATAGACCAGTGATTCTCAACCACTGTGACGCGGCACTTTTGTGTGCCGCCAAATTTTAAAAGTGTGCCGCCAAATTTTGCAAATATTTAAAATTTTTGTCATAAACTATTTATGCAGTGTGTTGTAGTAAATAAATAATTTTTATCTTTTTCTTTGTGTGCAGCCAAATTTTGAAATCGTTAAATATGTACCGCAACAAAAAAAAAAGGTTGAGAATCACTGATATAGACTATAGAAGTTATAACATGGAATTAGTCCAAAACCAATCAGAATATTTGTTTTCCCGATAATAAATATATTAACCATTTAAATCAATATTACTTTTACCGCGACAGTAAAAAGTAGTATTTTTGACTTTTTTTACTTTTTGTCACAAATTACAGTCGTAAACATATTTATTTCTTACTCATATTTATTTATTTCTTAAAGATAAGGATAACTTATTTTACTGTACAATAAAGTGTTACAAACACACTTTCACATTTGTAATATTAGTAAGGACTTTTTTTCTTTTAGTTATGCTTTTTTTCCTTTTTAGGGTTCCGTACCTCCAAAAGAAAAAACGGAACCCTTATAGAATCACTTCGTTGTCCGTCTGTCCATCCATCCGTCCGTCCTTCCGTCCGTCTGTGAAGACCCTTTTTTAGGAACGCGTGGAAGTATCAAGTTGAAATTAATGTCATATACGAAGCAACAAAAACATACGGCCATTTATGTTCCATTTATATCGCATATTTTGACATTCGCAAAAGGAATAGAAACATGTAGGGTAATTCCCGTTGATCTAAAATCGTAAAATTTGACAAGAAGCAATGTCATGTAGCACAAATAAAGGAAAAAAAAAAAACAGAAACCCGTAAATATGCAGTTATTTAAAAAAAAATTATTATTTTGTAAGAGACCCTCGTTGTACAGGTCCGACTCTCACTTTATCGGTTTTATTTTATTCAAATTCTGATTTCATATTAAATAAAATATTTACACGTTTTTAATCATAATTTCTGAATTGTGAATAATTTGTTACAGGAGAGCGTTCCAGAGGTTCTATCAGAAATTTATAGAAACGGCATATCCTATTGAGGATATTTACATAGAATAAACACACAGCAATATATATTATACGTAAACATGATAACTTATTTGTTATCGTTATAAACACTATGCCTAAGAACTGAAGAATTATTGGAACGATACCTGAATGGTAGGTATTATTTTTTAGTATTCATATTATTTTTGTTAATATTAAATTATATATATATATATATATATATATATATATATATATATATATATATATATATATATTAACTTATTTAAATAAATAATTAAAATATATAATGAACATAATTTTTCTTCTTTTTCAATATTGAAGTTATAATTCCTGTTTTAATATTTGTCTAAAAATCTTATTTAAAAAAATAAAATATTGTTGCATAGGTAGATTAAAGAATAATTCTTTGTTTATGTTTTAAAGATTATTTTGGAACTCAAGAGTTCAGTTATATTAAAACAAATAATATGTAACACTGTGATAAGAGTTTCATCAAATACAGCTAAGAAGTATTTTATTAATTTTAATTAATTGAAAATAAAATATTATTCAAAATGATGGTTGACTCTTGGAACGCTTTTATTTCGCTTTCTTTGTTTGATGTAAAAACAATTGTAATTTCATTGTTTATTATTATAATAGCATTACCACACAAGTAAATTAATCCTTATATTACATGTAAATAAATTGCAATAATTCAATTAAAACTTTTCTATAGCAAATCAAATGTTCCTCTTTCGTAGTATTTAAGCATAGTGGGTATAATGTTATAAAAATACGATCATTAAACTCGTTGTCGGCTATAGAGTCGAGCCATACAATTAATTGCATAAACATAACAGCAGTGTAATTATTAATTATAATAATTAAAAATATATCAATATCATTAAAATCAAGCCTTGATTGTACTCTCAATAATTAAATATACGCTGAAATTATAGTATTAAATATCGTTATGTTATGTATATGTATATATATAAAGATTTCTTTTTTTCAAATAAATACGACTTCATTTTTAACAAAACTAGTATGAGATCTGAGAGTAAACATTTTTATTAACAAAACAAGATATTAAATAAGTTCAGAATTAAAAAGAATATCGCCTAAAATAGGTACAAAAAATAGAAAAAAAAAGTTTGATTTGAAGTCGGTTAATGAAAGGTTGCAAAGAGGCATAGATTTCCTAGCTTGCTTGGCGGTTATATTAAAAACGCTGTAAATAAAGCATTGAATTAATGATCACCAATAGACACGCTAAGTGGTCACTACATCTTTGTCTACGATAGGTAATAATTATGTTTTATTTCTATAAATCAATAATTTAACAGTTGGTTGTCACCAACGCATGTGATTATTAATAGTTAAAGACTATTCTTACACAATGTAAACGTATCAGTTTCACCTATTAAAAGGGTGAATGAGATATATCAAATTGATTCTCAAATACTGTGATAACGGAAACAGTTAATTTCTGGTGTAGGTGTAATTGTTATTTTTTTACTATTAATAATGAAGACAAAACATTATTATCTCTTTATTAGTATGTACTGATCTAGGGTATATGTATAAACAATTACTAGATAGTTTCTGGATTAAGAGATATCTGATTATTAAAACATTCATTGTAGCCCAAACAATATTAATAGTCTGCGCAGATATGGTACATTTTGTCCGTAGATAAAATTTCTTTTTATATTTGCCTAGTCTTCCCATGTTTTTTAGGTCCAAAAAGAGGCAATACTTGAAGTAATATGTAGTCATAAACAATAATAAAACCCCTGAATTGTATGTATATATGGCAAATAATGGCTTAAATAAAAGTAATTTTTTCACGGTAAAATGTCTATCAGTTGCGTAGACATTAATTGTTATTTCTTATAAGTTTCTTTCATTATTTATTTCTGAAAGAAAATCAGTTATGAGAATGTTATTGTATTCAATTTTGTAATAATAAATAGTAGCTAAGTATAATAAAATTATGCTATACTTTCTCACAGCACTACAAAAAATGTACTCAAGTAAAGACTAGTTATTATTGCTTAATTAAATGCAATATACTTATTTATTTAATACATACATACCTACACCGTATTTTAAATTTAAATACAATTAGTTAGTAATGAAAATCCTTTAAATGTGTAAATAGTTATTTTATTAATTTAACGATTACAGGCCACATTCATTTTGCGATGAGACAATGCAAGTTTGTTCTAGGTATTTTGTAAATACAATATTTACAAAAAAAAAAAATTATTGAGTTTAGTATTTTTTATGGACAGACAATTATGTGAAATTATTTTATTTTAAAAGTCCTATAAAGTAAAAAAATAAAAACATTCTAAACAACTAGAAACTATTATTAAATTGTTACTAATATTGGTTTGGAATACTTTTTAAATATTTTTTTTTAACTTCATTCAATAAAAATTGTTAAAAAAACTGTAAGTATTTTTCTAACTAAACTGTCTGACTACGAAACTTAATGTCCGTATATTTTGGTATTATATTTCAATAAATTGCTTTAAACAACACAATTTCGTGGTAAAAATTGTATAACCCGTGGTAATACCATAACACTAAATGGTATTGTAAATATAAAATATATACGTAACACGATGACAAAAGGAAAATTTCCAATTTTATATCTAAAAAAATACACTGTAATTGTAGCTTTTTTTGAAAAAAATTATATTTATTTCTCCCACTCAATGGATAAAATAAGAATGACAGACTTCTATAAATCCCGCCTAGATTGTACCAAATTAACTACACGGCTTATAATGTTCTTAAAAGTACTTAAAACTTTGTAAATATACGTAAAGAAATGTAAAAAGCCGCGAAAAAAGCTATTAAAAAATAATAAAAATCAAAAATGATATTTTTATGCTACTTTACTTTTTTTTTTGTAAACACCTACCTCAAGCTTGCCTCGATTATTGAGTGTGTTCACACAAACATCATGCAATTATAGAAATATTTTAAAAACGATCGAAACATTGTTTTTAAAGTAATTTTATAAATATTTCTTAGATGGCTAAAATAGCGTTAATTACAAAACATCTGTAAATTAATGTAATTATATTCTTAAATGTTACATCTGGATGGTTAACCACCACATACTTCCTGACTGACAATTATAAAATACATAGTTGTAGATATTTTTCCAAACTTACGTATCTCCTTTTCTATATTACATAGAAAAATAAATTTTGCTTTAATATATTGTAAATTGATATTTATATCAATTAATGTACTTTTTGGTTTTATCATACTTAAAAAAATTGTTAGTTAAGAGAGTTAAGGTAGCTAACCATCGATTTGCAAAACGAACTGTAAACTATATAAAGTAGAATATGGTACTGAGTATTTCGTGTAGATTTTATTATTTTTTTGTGTGAACATTCTCTAAACAATATATTTAATAATAAATTGTATTGTACACATTACGCATTGTAACATGAATGTGTCTTAAATTTGTAAATACTAATTGTAATTGGCAGCATCAACGGAGCAGAAACGTACTCAACAAAGCTGATTAGAGCTGTGAAACGAAAACTAAATATACTATTTATTTTTCCAGTAAAATGTTTAATTGTAATAGCATATTCAACATATAACTCATAAGCCATTATATAATATATTATGTGGGACTGAAAGTTTGGAGTTTTATTACAATTACAAAGATACTTAGAATAGATATTACTACTATTAAAGAAAACATACAGCTGTAACAAAAATCTGCAAGATCTCTAGTTGTAACAAGCATTTCTTTTATTTTAAAGTTCTTAATGAAGAAAAGTTAAAGTTAATACCCTTTTACTACTTACTGTAGTTACTTAAATATTCAATAATTGTATATACAGTAAGTGTTATAAGCCACTTTCGCCCAAATAGTCCTAATTAAGTGTTTTAGCCATGAAATAATATTTGTATACCTTTTGATTCATATTACAATAAGTACCTCGGGCGGCTCGAATTATTGATAATCAGCGCCTTGCTGTCCGGTCCGACTTGACCCACTGAAACTGCGCAGAGATGTTTCATCTCTGTGAATCTTCTACCGAATTTATCATGGAGAGTGTTCTGAGGAATGTTTCGGATTGATACCTGCTGCTGATTTTCACCATCGTAACCCGTCATAAGCTAAAGTTTCAAGAAAAGAGTATATGCCTTTTTAAAAGGCCGGCAGCACATCGGCAATACCGCTGGTGTTGTGGGTGATCATGGGCGGCGGTAGTCACTTACCATCAGGTAAGCCGCATACTCGTTTGCCCCCTGTGTTGTAAAAAAAATATTTTAGGTTTAATACTAATATTGACCTCAACATTGTGAGTCAACTATTTTACAAAACTATAAAATTTAAGAAACCAAAGACAGTCTTTACTCTTCACAATCTGAAGTATCACAAAGAAATAAAGCAATAAATATACATTATTAACAGTAAAAGTAAAAATATTTCTAGTATTATTAATTACTGAAAAATATAAAAAACGATAGTTTCAAATTATTATTTCTCATTCATAAAATTATTCATTTTATTCCTAATTTCCTATCTTATTACCTCATTCTGAACCTGACTCTTTGATCTATAACTCCTTTGTTTCCTTTTTATATTCTTGTAATAACGGCCAATGTAACCTGATCAAAACGTCGACATAACCTAAATAAATTGTCATAATTTATCTTAATGACAACGTTAATTCTCATTTCTTATAAAACATAAGCCTTCTAGATGATTAATACAAAATCATTTTAATCTTTTTAATTGTATACCGCCATCTACCATTGTCTATCGCAACAACTGAGTAAAGCAGAGACCCATACTTAAAAAATACACATTAAAAAGTACAAAATAAGCAAAAGTTATGTATTGTAAAAATTTTGCAAAAGGCCATAATATATATGGTAGTAATATACATTATAATGTGTTTCAGATTTAAATAATCATTAATTAAATGTAAAATGAAAAAAAGCACCATCTATCTTTAACTAACGATACTAATATAACGTCATTAAAATGTCAATAAGGGAAAACTTAAGCAATATAACAATATGCCTTGCATTGTAATCAGCATGCTAAAAAACAATTATTTAAATTACCGTTTTATAGAGGGCACCACCAAGTAAAAATAAGGGAGGGATCTTATGAAAACAAGAATTCGT